ACCACAAACTCTGCTCCCTTCACTCCCCCAAATGCACACAAATTATGTGCTTCATCTGTTCACATTTTCACACCACCATACTGTTCCCTCTGCCTGAAATTCCTTTCCCCATCTTGTTTACCTGGTTAATTCCTACTTATTCCTTAAGATTCAGCTAAAGGCAGCATACACATACTTCTCATTCCTTCCATAGCATTCTGGGCATGGAAAATTTATTATAATAGTAACTTTTTTATTTGCTTATATTGTTCTCCCTCTGCTCTTTCTTCCGGATCTTGCCAAGGTGAATTCACTTAAATCATTCACCATATCCTTATGGAGCACCTCCTTTGGGATAGGCATACATTGTGCTAGGCAATTGGGATAACGTACCTGCCCATAAATAGCCCACAGCCTAGTGGGAGAGAAAGAAAGAGAGGAAATTAATGATAACGCACCCTGAGAAGCATAGTGATAGAAATATACACAAGAAATAGAGATACCATGGGATTAACAGTGAGTTTTTGCTGATTAATAGCTAGTTACTGTGTTCTTTGAAATATTCTAAGACCACATGTGAACATGCCCCAGTAGGGCTTTATTACTTAATTATAGAAGACAGAATGTTTGTTCCTCTGGGTCTTTTGGCAATTCTGAAAAGCGGGCTTTAAAATGGCTATTTTACTAATTTGGAAAATGGGAACCAGTGAGGTTGACCCAAGCAAGTAAGGAGAATGTTTGGGGTTGGAACTGGGAATGAAATGCTCACATTCTTTCCACTATCACTTTCCCTCTACTTAGATCTTGTTACTTGGGTCCTTCCCTTCACTTCGGTTTTGTTTCTTTTCTTGTGTCTCTTTGGCTCCTGACCTTCTATTTCTAAAGCTTTAACTTCTTTTTGACACTTTGCTAAGCCCAGGAACATAGCTTTTCCTGCTCCAGGCTGATTTGAGTAGCCCATGCGAGGGCTGATATTCAAAATACTTAACAACCAGACTTTATGGGCACCAACCATTCACAATGGACACTGATTTGTCAACTGTGCCTGCTGGCCTGGGCACTATCCCTCTGACCAAGTCCTGGCCTTAGACCCACAGCCTGTCATCTGTCCACCCTTCCTGGGACCCTGGTGAAGGAGACTTGGACAAAGAATCTCACTGTCTAGAAAGTTGGTATTCTTGCAGAGAATGGCAATCTAGTATCATATAGGTTTAAGGGGAGACTTGCACAAGGAGGGACGAGAACTTAGAAGAAAGGATGGCTGAAGCCCTTGAGGAAATTAGAGCAGGTTCACATGAGAAATAATGCTGAAATGGTCTTTGTTCATTCTGTGTGTGACTCTATGTGGAGCTAATGACTTAGAAGCACGTATGAAGGAATGCAGCCAGTCAGGAAGTGACCAGCAAGTCAGCACGAGAGAGTGCTGGGACGCGAGCACCTTCAGTGGGCTCAAGGGTTGATTGCTGAGCCAGATGTGAAGGGCCCTGTACGTGCCATGCCTAATGTCTGCATGCTACACTTATCCTAAAGAAACAGAAGAGGCCTAGTGACCTTTAAGCAAGAGTTATTGTCCCCTCAGTATACTCGGAAGTGCTGGGAGAGATCAGTTGCCAGTTCTCTCTGCTGGCCTCACCAGAGTGGGATCTCTGGAAGGCTGGTGTAGTCATATGTAATCCAATGTGTAAACACCTCTTCACTAGGGTGTCTACATTTGTCTGTTCAGATGCAAAGTTTTATCAATTCTGTTAGGCCCTGATCCTGTATCTCAATTTTTAAGACCTAGCTTTAACGAACTGCGTGTCGACTTACAAAAGAATGTGTACCTGGCCCGTAAAATGAAAGCATTCTTTGTCTGCTATTAACATATATGGAAAAACTAATATCAAAATGAAAAGGCCCAGGAACCAGATGATATTATGCATTTGCATATCTCTGTAAGTTTACAAAAAGCTTTCACATCTGGTATGTCACTGGCACTTCATAAAAACACTGTGCGGTGAGCAGGGAACCCCAAAGGCTGGAGATAAAGGACGTGTTAGGATCAGCTCAAGTAGAGACCAAAGTGTAATATTTACTGTGTTCCCTTGATGTGAAACACACCCATTCTTGGCATGTGATGCAGTCCTACACTATACTTTTGGGAACAACTACTGTAGATCCATTTGAGCCAGCTTACTCAAGAGAAGCAACATAATTATTAGCATACAATATCTCCCAAATCCTAAGGGCTGAGCTTTCGGAGTGGATTGAAACCTGAGACTACCATCAGGGTACCCTTTTCATTTCTTTTCATTTTGTGACAGCGTTATTGAGATACAATACATGTCATACAATTAGTCCATTTAAAATTTACAAGTCAGTGGAATTTAGTATATTCACAAAGTTGTGCAGCAAATCACCACGATCGATTTTAGAATTGATTTTAGATTTAGATTTTTTTTTTAAAGATTTATTTATTTATTTGAGAGAGCGAGAATGAGAGAGAGAGAGCACATGAGAGGGGGGAGGGCCAGAGGGAGAAGCAGGCTCCTCGCTGAGCAGGGAGCCCGATGTGGGACTCGATCCCGGGACTCCAGGATCATGACCCGAGCCGAAGGCAGTCGCTCAACCAACTGAGCCACCCAGGTGCCCTAGATTTTGATTTTTATAATCAATTTTTCATCATCTTCATTAACACCACTAGGTCCTGACAACCACTGATCAGCTTTCTGTTTCTAGATTTGCCCATTCTGGACGTTTCACAGAAACGGAATCATACAATTTGTGGCTTTATGGCTTACTTATTCCCTTACCATAATGTTTTCAAGGTTCATCCATGTTGTAGCATGTATTAGTACTTTATTCCTTTTTTTGCCAAATACTATTCCATTGTATAGATATGCCACGTTTTATACCTGTTCATCAGTTGACAGATGTTGTTGTTTCCACCTTTTCGTTATTATGAATATTGGTATACAAGTTTCCATGTTGACATGCTTTCATTTCTCTTGGATATATAAGTAGGAGCGGAATTGCTGGACTATATGTTAACTTTATGTTTAGCATTTTGAGGAATTGTTAAACTATTTCTCAAAATAGTTGTGGACTGAATCTCTGTATTCCTCCCCCACAAATACATATGTTAAAGCCCTAACCCCAAATATGATCATATTTGGAGGTGGGGCCTGTGGAAAGTCTAGATGAGATCATGAGAGTGGACCCCCAGGATGGGATTAATGTCCTCATAACAAGAGGAAGAGACCAGTGCTCCCTCTCTCTCCACCATGTGAGGATATAGGGAGGAGGTATCTGTCTGAAGCTGGGAAGTGGGTTCTCACAAGGAACTGAGTCTGCCAGCACCTTGATCTTGGACATTGCAACCCCCAGAACTGTGGGAAATAAATATTTTCTGCTTAAGCCACCCAGTTTATGGTATTTTGTCTTAGCAGCCTGAACTAGTACAGTGGCTGAACCAGTTTACATTCCCACCAACAATGTAGAAGAGTTCCAGCTTCTTCATATCCTGGCCAATGCTTATTATTTTTTGCTTTTTAAAAAAATTTTTAATTATAACCCTCCTCATGGGTATTAAATGGTATCTTATTGTGGTTTTGATTAGTCCCCAATGACTACTGGTGTTCAGTATATTTTCCTGTTCTTGTTGTTTATATGTTTATCTTTTATGGAGAACTATCTATTCAGATCAAACTACAAAATGCAGGTGAGAGCATGCTGAACATTGTGGAGACAATATAAATGCAGGATATTATTATGGACACAAAAAGACATGATGCCAAGAGCTTGAGGATATTGCATTGTGGAAGTAGGTGGTTAATAGATAAAATGGGGGCACCTGGGTGGCTCAGTCAAACATCTGCCTTCAGCTCAGGTCAAGATCCTGGGATCCTGGATCCTGAGATCGAATCCCGCATCAGGGCCCCTGCTTGCCGGGGAGCCTGCTTCTCCCTCTACCTCTGCCTGCCTCTCCCCTACTTGTGAGCTCTCTCTCTCTCTCTCTCTAATAAATAAATAAAATCTTAAAAAAAAACCAGATAAAATGGTAGTTCAGGAAGTTAAAGGTGGGAGGCAGGAGCAGGAGATAGATTGAGAAAGAGATACCTAAGTTGAAATAAATGATTATGCAACATTTCTTAGGTTTTATCTATTTATTTTTTAAAGATTTATTTATTTATTTGAGAGAGAGAGAGAGAGATGAGAATGTGAGCAGTGGGGGGAGGGCAGAGGGAGAGGGAGAGAGAATCCTCAAGCAGACTCCCTGCTAAGTGAGCCAACGTGGGGCTCAATCCCAGGACCCTGAGATCATTGGCCAAAATCAAGAGTTGGAAACTTTAACTGACTGAGCTCCGCAGGCGCCCTCATTTCTTGGATTTTAAAAGAGATGTAACCATTATGCAGTAATGCCTCTAATGTGAAATCCACATGTGGGCTAAATATTTCTATTATATATGTAGGACAGGTTTATCAATGTCCACATGTGTGACGTTTGGACCAGCTTATTCCCTATTGTGAGGGCTGTCCTGTGCATGGTGAGATGTTTAGCAGCATCCCTGGCCTCTACCTACTAGATGCCCATAGCACCCCCTTTGTGACACTTCGCCCCCATTCCTCCTCGGCTGAGAACCACTGGTGTAGGATAAGGGTGGGAGGGGTAATTCCTGCTCAGTACTGATGTGTAAAGTAGCATGACCTACAAATTTCCACCCCAGGCAGGTCCTAGCTGGATAGTGCGTCCCAAGTGTCTGCATCACTGGTGGCCCTCATTGTTCTCTGCAGTTGATTGCATTACCTTCTTGGCCCCTGGTTTCTCTCATTCAAATCCATGCAGGCTGTGTCTTGCTGGTTTCCCAGAAGCTTTGGCAATTTGGGCTTCACTTCCCTCTTCTCTGGCACCTTGTCTCACCATTCATCTTTGCTTCAGCTGCAATGAACTTCTAAGTCTTCCCTGGAAATGCTATGCCTAGATATGACTCCACATTTATAACCACCGTTCTCCCAGCCCAGAATGTCTTCCTCCCTTTCTCAGCCAGAAAGCTCCTGTAAACCCCCTTTTAAGACCTAGCTCGTATGTCATTTCCTCTGGGAGTCTTTTTCTGACAACGTTAGGCAGGATTGGTGTGACTCCTTCCTCTGTACTTGTAAAGCACTCAGTTAATATTTTTGTTGCAGAATTTTTGTACTGAATTTTAATGATTTACTTTAATTATCTGTCTCTCTTACCCACAGCAGGTTAGATTCCTGGAGAGTAAGGACTCCCTGCTTCACTTGTTCTGCCTTCAGCTTCTATCCCTTGGCCTGGAGCACAGTAGGTGCTTAATACTGATCAATGTATGAAGAATGGATGCTTGAACTGATGGGAAGGTAGCTCTGCTGATGCATTCAAGCATGACTGGATGGTCAGGTGGGATAGTTAGTCTAGGTATTTCAGTTCTCCAATAACGGGTGAAGTTCTTTGGCTAGGAATATTGGAAAACAAGAAAGGCATTTAAGTTGAGCAGAACCAGACAATCCTATGGAGGAGGTACATAAAACTCTACCTCCTAATTAATTTAGACCTGCACAGCTAATTATAATATGCAGAGTGCAGGTAAGATCTTGTTTAATCACTCATCCCTGCTCTGGTAATCACAGTGCCCAGCAGCCATGTCTCTGTTGGGATCCTGGTGTGGGACTAAGCCCCACCCTGGGCGCCTGACTCATGTTGTCTGTTCTGGAATCTCGGTGCTCTGCACACTCGGGGCCAAGTCCTTGTCCCACTCTTATAGGACATCTCATGCTTCTCTGGCTCGTGCTCCTGCTGATGGCTGGTTCCTCCCAGCCTCTGCCGTTGGGCATTGCATCACCCTACACCCAGGCAGAGGACTGATGGTTGCCTTCCGGGTCAGAGCTCTGCTTCCGTTGTGCTGCCAACCTGACCGTGCGAGCTACATTCCCACCTGTCTGGCCTCGCACTGACCACCCTTCATCCCATTGCTGTCTAGGACTCCCGCGTTTGTGCCTCGTCCCTCCCGATGTGCTCAGGTCCCTGCTGTCCATCTGCTGTTCGCTTTCCTCAGCACTTTGGGAGGGGCTGTTTATCCCTGTGGTTTCTGGTGGGAAGAAATCGTTTCAGGGAAGAGCCTTATGAAAAACATCTTAGAAACAGATCTCTTTTCTCCCGGTTTCTTGGTTTCTTCCTGCCGTCCACATTTAAGCCTCCCTTGCTGTTGCTGGATGGTAGGAATTATTGGCTATTGCAAGCCTCTACTTAGTTAGCTGGGAGCGGGGAAAGCCTCAAAAGTCTTTGGAAATTCTTGGTTTAAGTACAGAAGAATGTGTAGAGTGAGTTACTCTTTGAGGAACAAAAGGGAAACAAACACACATGCCTATATTTACACACCTATATAGGATTTCTTCAGAAGGATATATGCTAAGGTAATGGAATTGGTTGCTTATGGGAGAGGGATGCTGGGTTGTGTGGGGGTCAAAGAATGGGAGGGAAATTTTACTGTGTCTTGTTTTGTAACCTTTGACTTCTCAACCCAAGAAAATGTGTTATCTATTTCAAATATAAGTGGACAAAAGCTAGAGATGAATGGTTTACAGAAAAAGAAATAGCAACATTTATGAAAAGATATGAAAAGATGTGCAAAATAACTTTTAACAAAAGAAGCGTAAGTTTATTTATTTATTTATTTATTTATTTATTTATTTATTTATTTATTTATTTAAGGTTTTATTTATTTATTTGACAGAGAGAGAGAAAGCGAAAGAGGGAACACAGGCAGGGGGAGTGGGAAAGGGAGAAGCAGGCTTCCCGCAGAGCAGGGAGCCCGATGCAGGGCTCGATCCCAGGACCCCGAGATCATGACCTGAGCCGAAGGCGGTCGCTTAACTGACTGAGCCACCCAGGCACCCAGGAAGCATAAGTTTAAACTGGAGGTCAATTTTTACATATTCAGTTCGCAAAGATCAAAACATTAAGGATTACAGTGTTGGTGAGATTGGGAAGCAGGTTCTCTCATACACTGTTGGTGGGATGTAAATGGATCCAACTTTTGGAGATTGGTAGTTATCAGCATGCTCTATAACATAGCAGGATCTCTTCTAGAAACGTACCTACATATATTTTCATATATCAATGCAAAACATATACCAGGTCTGTTGCAGAATTATTTGTATTGACAAACGAGTAGAAGCAATCTAAGTCTCCATCAATAATTATTGGGTGAAAAATTTATGGTACATTTATACAAGTATTATATTGTCATTAAAAAGAACATGGTATATTTATATATGCTTATATGGAATAACCTCCAAGACGTTTAGTTCATTGGAAAAGGTATGATGCAGAACAGTGTGAATACAGTTTATGTTCCTCCTTTCATGGCATATTTATACTTTAGAACACCTATTTTTCCATCCTTCTGACATTTATTCCTTCCCTGTATGTATGTATGTATGTATGTATCATCTATCTATCTATCATCTATCTATCATCTATCTATCTATCTATCTATCTATCATCTATCTATCATCTATCATCATCACCTATCATCTTTTATACTCTATTATATATCTCTCCCTCCATCCCTGCTTTTCCCCTCCCTCCTTTCCTCCCTTCCTCCCTTCCTCCCTTCCTCCCTCCCTCCCTTCCTTCCTTCTTTCCTTCTACTTACATATAGAAAACTTTAAAAAGATATACAAGGACACATTACCAGTGGTTGTCTCTAGTGAGAGATATTTCATTTTCATCCTATACCCTTTGGTACTGCTTAAATTTTATCATATCAAAAGCATATATAAGGGAGGTGGGCAGGGGATGGGCTAAATGGGTGATGGGTATTAAGGAGGGTGCTTATTGTAATGAGCACTGGGTGTTAAATGTAAGTGATGAATCATTAAATTCTACCCCTGAAACTAATTTTACCATATTATGTTAACTAACTACAATTTAAATAAAAACTCAAAATAAACAAAGTTTAAAAAAAAGCATTTATAACTTTTTATTTGAATGTTTTTATTATGAAATAAGCTGTCAACTCTCTCTCAACTGTTTTCTTTGCTCAGCAGAACTTGTACAAAACAGAAAATGTACAGCTTGGTGATGTTCCCAAAATGAGCCTGTATGCAATCACCACTCAGAGGAAAAAGTGGAATCCTGTCAACAGTCTGGAAGCTGCTCTCTACCCCGTCCAGGCACTGCCCTTCCCCCCTCCCAGAGGTAACCATGATCTTGACTCTCAGGATAATCACTTTTCTGCTTTTTTTTTCCCATCAAAGCATTGCAGCTTAGTTTTACATATGCTTTGAACTTTATACCAACGGATTAGTACAGTATGTACTCTTCTGTGTGTGGCTTCTGTTGCCCAATGTTGTGTTTGTGAAACTCATCAGTGTTGCCCCATAGTTATAGGTTGTTCATTTTCATCACTGCACAGAATTCCAATGTGTGAATGAATATACTGTAGTTTATACATTTATTGTAAAAGGATACTTACGTTTATACTTTGGGGCCATTGGAAACAAAGCTGCTGTAAACATTCTTGCACATGTCTCTTGGAGTAATATTTCTATTGGATAAAAAATCAAGAGTGAAATGTTTTGACCATGTTGTAATGTATTTTTAGTTTTAGTAGTTAACGTCAAAGAATTTTCCAAAGTAGTTATACCAATCTGTGGTCTCCCCAAGCAAAGAATGAGAGTTCCTATTGCTCCACATTCTCGCCAGTATTTGATATTGTTTTCTGTTTTTTTTTTTTCTGCCATTCTAATAGATGTATAGTGATGTCGCTTTGTCTTATTTTGCAATCTATAATTACATATGATGTTGATAAGCCTTTCATATATTTATTTGCTATATATCTTCTTTGGTGAGTTGTTGATTTAGATCTTTTGCCAACTGTTTAATTGGGTTGTTTGTTTTTTTAATTGAGTTTAAGAGTTCTTTGTATAGTTTTAAACACACATCCTTTATCAAATCAGTTAATCAGTATTTTTTTCCCAATCTCTGGTTTATTTTTCATTCTCTTGAACTCTCAATTTTTTATGGTTTTTCTTTTTGCATAAAATGTGGTATGTTCTTCATTAGATATATTCATATGTATTTGGTAATTTTGATGTTATAACAAGCGATGTTACTGTAAATTTGATTGCTGATATATAGAAATGCCATTACATTTTAGATGTTTATTTCAAGTACTATTTCTAATAATTTATCTGTAGATTCTTTTGTTTATGCTACTTTTATTTGTTTTAGGTATCATTGTATACTAGCTTCATAAAAATGTTTTGAGGTTTTCACTTTTGCTATCCTATTTTCTGGAACAATACTTGTAGTATTTTGATTATCTGGTCTTTGAATATTTGGTAGAATTTCCTAGGAAATTATCAGGACTGGGACTTTTTTTGTGGGATAGTTATTTAACAATTTTTTAATTTTCTATATGGAAATTGATTGGTTTAGACTTTCTGTCTCTACTGGGGTAAATTTTTGCAAATTGTATTTCCCTACGAAATTATTTACTTCATCTGATCTTGGTATTCAAATTACATAGTTTTGCAAAGTAGTGCCTTATTATTTTGAAAATTTTATCTCTTTTAATGTTTATTACTCCCTTATCATTTCTTATTTTATATATTTTCCCTTTTTTCTCTTAAATAAATTTCTATTGTAGAAATTTGTAGTTTGTCTATGTTAGTAATTTTTTCCTCAATGAAACAGCATTTTGGCTTATTCACTAATTACATTATCTTTCTATTTTCTACCACATTCATTCTCCTTTTATTATTTTTTCGACCCTTGTTCAGTTTATACTTTTTTCTAGTTTTTAGAGGCTTTCATTTAATTCTTATAATTTTATTCTTCAGTTTTGATGGCTATAAGACTACTATTTAAGGCTATTATTTTTCTCTAATCATTTATTTAATTGCAGTTCATATATTCCAGTATGTAGTGTTAATGTTTAGGTTAGACATTCTACAATTTTAGTCTTTTTTTTTTTCCCACTTTTTACACTAGTTTTTTAGTGGAGAGGTTTTTTCTTTTTTTTTTAATTCTAACACATTTAAAATTTTGCTATTAATTTCTACTTAAAACTTGCATAGAATTTTTTGAGATTTTTCTTTGTGATCTAATTAGGTATGGTAAATTTTTGTAAATGGTCTGTACTAAAATCAACATCACTAGGAAAATTTCAATATATACCTAAAAGTTATGCTTTATGGGTAATATTGCTTAGAACTTTAATAGTATAACTTATTTTTGGTCCACTTGGCTTATCTTAGACTGAGAATGTTGTTTCAAAATCTCTTACTATTAATATATTTTTGTCCATTTTTTCCTTGCATCTTTATACTTTATCAAAGAAATCTTTAGTTATTTGCTGCGTAGACATTTATAACTGTTATCTTAACTGGAAATTGTTGCCTTTAGCATTATAAAATGTTTTTCTTTACCATGTTTAATGCTTTTTGACCTATATTTAATTTTATCTAATATCAAGCTCTCTATCCTCAATTTCCTAGTATTTGCATTTGTCTGGTATACATTTGTTCATCCCCTTTATTTTTAGCCTCTATGAATCACTTTGTTATAGAACTGGATTTTATCCTTTGGACCAATCTGGAAGTCCTTTTTCCAATGGGTGTTTCATGTTCATTAATATTTATTGATACAACTGTTATTCCACATTATTTTGTTTTATTTATTTGGTACATTTTATTGTATTTATTTTTCTTCTTTACATGACCTGTTTTCTTTGCTCTATTTTATAGGGATTTTTGATATTTAGGAAAGTTTCCATTTTTATTCTATTGGTTACTAATTACTATTACATTATACAATGTTCTTAGCACTTAATTTTCCTCATTTAGGTTTCTACTATTTAGTTTGTTTGTTTAAAAGATATTCTTTGACTTTCACATGTCTTCAGTGCAATAGTAAATTAGATTTTTTTCTACTTTCCTCTTTTGTTCCTCCCTATTCTTTCCATTTATTTTAGTTGTTCCTACTTTGTCATAACATATAGTATTTACATACTATCCTTTCCTTGTCCCTGCTTTTGCTTTGGTCTTAGATCCATAATTAAATATATTCAGTTGTCATCAACAACTCTTTTGCTGAATTTTGCCTGGTTATCTCTTGACTATATGAAGCTAGTCCTTAAGTAGCATCCTAGGAATGCCTTGTGAACACAGTGTTTCCTGAGATTATGCATGTATAGAATAGCCTTGATATTTCCCCAACGGAAAAATGCTTCCACATGCTGGATTCACCTTCCTGAGTCTTTATCCTCTATCACATCCTTGCACTAACTTATTAGCTCTCTGATGCTTTCAAATACATTCTGCACTGCTTTTATAAATATTTTCTGATATTTTGAACTGATTTTCTAATTATTTTAGCAAGAAAGTTGGTTCAAGTTACTGAATCCTCCAATATTTCTGCATTTCTTAAAGACATTAATTTGAAAAATGCTTGGCTCTCCTTTCCTCTTTTAGTGTTACGTGAGCAACAGAGAAAGGTATGTGGAGATTGAAGAGGGAATTATGAAGTCTATATTTCTAGAAATAAATGACGCACAAATTCACCTGTTCTTTAGGCTTTTCTTTTCTCTTGCCAGAAAAATCTCCATCACATTTTCCTCTAGCCAATCCTCAAAGCTGGGAACACAAAACAAAACAAAACAAAACAAAAACAACCTACAGCCAAAGATAAAGGAGAGAGATCTGATCATTGCTTTTCTTGAGCCTCTCATTGCTGTGGGGACTGGGGCTGCCGTGATGGTTTTAGTTCTCTCTTTGGAAGGTCTTTATCTCCCAGCTTCCAGGTGGTCACATTTCCTGTCTAACCCCTGCTATCTAGCTTAAGGATAAGCTAATTTAGTTACGTTTCCTTAAGGTAAAGAAGCAGACCCTGGTTGTAGTTTGCTCTGTGTCATACTGGTATTCTGTGCTAAAGAAGGTGATGAGTCAACAAAGATTGAGTGAGCAAAGATTAATCCAATGATTAGAATGTGTTAGAGAAGCTCTGGCTTTTGGCCAGAGTTTAAGAAGCAGCTGAGGCTTTGGCAAGATTAAGATAATGGATGTGCCTTGAGGCAACCACCTATTTCTAAAATATGCAAGAAAAGTTTCTCCTTCCTCAGAGGAGTTCTTTATGTAATCTTCCTATGCTCCCATCCCAGAAGGGGACAGAGGTGCATTTCATATGGCAGAAGATACTTCAAAGGAGTTTGTTTAGACTAGCAAGAATGTGGCATTTGTTTTTGTAACCTCCTGGGTTTTAGTTCTAAGTTAGAGAGAAGGGAAGCACACATTGTTTTTAGGCTTTCTGTAAGTAACCACCAAGTCTCCTAAGCAATAAAAGCTTCCCTTTCTCCATTGTCCCACTGGGGCACATGGTGATCTTTTGCATTTATATATATGGTTGGAAGCCATCCACTTAAATTGATCAGCTAAATTTGAAGAAAAAGATTTTGTTTCTTGCATTAACCTCCTTCCCAGATTTCTATTGTTGAGTGTTGTCTTAATTAAAATAAAAATTTGGTTTGAAGTCCCTTCTTAAATGATCTCTGGTTTTGTTTTATGTTTGGTTTAGTTTCATTTCCCCTCCTCCCTCTGCTGTTTAAAATTAAGTTTATTTAAATGCAAAGAATGCACTGTTTATTCAACCAAATGGTATCTTTATGTGGAAAAGGAAAAAAAATCCAGAGCTACTCTACTGTCTCAGCTTAATAACTCAGTGGTTTGTTTTTTCTCTTTTGTGTGCATTTTTACTTCCAGCTGGGCTGCACACATACAACTGCTCTGTGGCGAGAATCTTTGGTAAACTATGCTACTTAAATGTTCATTGAACAAACAATTGCTCATCATTTCCCAACCTTAACAAAATAATACTGCAGTGACTTCTTTTAAAAACACTTGAAAAACTGATTTTCCATCCACATAAAAATTTGTCTTGAGTGTGTGCTTGTGGGAGTTTTGTTTTTGTTGGGATTGAGAGTGTCAACAGTGTGGAGAAAATATTTCCTTTGATTGTATTACCTGTACTGCAGTATTTTTCATTTTGCTGCAAAGTTTGCATGTAGAAACTTTTAGCATTTTCAGGTGTCTTGTGTCCCTATGCTATTCTGTACTATATTATTTTTAGGTCCACCATAGAAGAGAAATGCTATTATTTCTCTTTTCTAACCTTGTAATTAGTAACCTTTGTTAATTCTACTGGGAAAATTTTGGGGATAGTGAAGAGGAAGAGAGAGAGCAAAAATTATCCAACTTCTGTCTAATGGTCAACTCTGCCCAATATTTGGTTCATAAAACTAACACAAAGGAAACGTTCTGTGGGAGATGATGATGATCTCCTTAAAAGGTTCAAATTCTAAAGATTCTGGACATCTTCCCAATAGCCTTAATTTCCTTAAGAACACATTATATGCTATTTATCACCTCACTGTGCTTAAGCTTACCCATGTTTCTGACCTCTATTATCTCTTGGGGGAGAAGAATTCTATAAATGTATAAAATGGTTTTCTCTTTCTTTTTTAAAAAATAGACTTTATTTTTTTATAGAAGTTTCAGGTTCACAACAAAATTGAATGGAAGGTGCAGAAATTTTGCATATACTCCCTGCCCCACCTCCCCAACCTCCTGCATTATCAACATCCCCCACCAGAGTGGTACATTTGTTACAAATGATAAACCTATATTGACACATCATTATCACCCAGGGTCTATAGTTTACATTAGGGTTCACCCTTGGTCTTGTGCATTCTATAGATTTAGACAAATGTATAATGACATGTATCCATCATTATGGTAAAATACAGAGCAGTTTCACTGTCCTAAAAATCCTCTGGGTTCTGCTGTTCATCTTTTCCTCTCTTTTCAAATGCTGGCAACCACTGATCTTTTTACTGTCTCTATAGTTTTACCTTTCCTGTAATGTTCTACAGTTAGACATACTGTATGTAACTTTTTCAGATTGGCTGCTTTCACTTAGTAATCTGCATTTAAAGTTCCTCCATGTCCTCTCCTTGCTCCATAACTCATTTTTTTTTTTTTTTTTAGTGCTGAGTAATATTCCATGTACTATGGTTTATTTATCCAGTCACCTACTGAAGGACATCTTGGTTGCTTTCAAGTTTGTGTGATTATAGACAAAGCTGCTATAAATATCTGTGTGCAGATTATTTTGGTGGGCATAAGTTTTCAACTTCTTTGGGTAAGTACCAAGTAGTGCTATTGCTGGATTGTATAGTAAGAAGTGCATAGTTTTTAAAGAAAGCATCAAACTATCTTTCAAAGTAGCTGCACTATTTTGCATTTCCACCAGTAGGATATGAGAGGACTGTTGCTTCACATCCTCAACAGCTTTTGGTGTCAGTGTTCTGGATTTTCGTCATTTTAGTTGCTATATAGTGGTAACTCATTGTTGTTTTAATTTGCATTTCTCTCATAACATATACGGAGCATCTTTTCATATGCTTATTTGCCATCTGTATATCTTCTTTGGTGAGGTGTCTGTTGTGGTATTTCATTTTTAATTAGCTTTTTTGTTTTCTTATGCTTGAGTTTTAAGTGTTCTTTGTATATTTTGGATAACAGCCCTTTATCAGATGTGTCTTTTGCAAATATTTTCTACTAGCTTGTGGTTTGTCTTTTCATTATCTTGACAGTGTCTTTTGTGGAGCAGAAATTTTTAATTTTAATGAAATCTAGCTTATCAATTTTTTCTTTAATAAACTGTGCCTTTGGTGTTGTGTCCAAAAAGTCATTGCCAAAGCTAAGGTCATCTAGGTTTTTTCCTATGTTATCTTCTATGAGTTTTATAGTTTTGTGTTTTACATTTAGGTCTGTTATCCATTTTGAGTTAATTTTTATGAAGAGTGTATGGTCTGGGTGTAGATTCTTTTTTTTTTTTTTTTGCAAGTAGTGGATATCCAGTTCTTCCAGCATCATTTATTGGAAAGACTATCTTTGCTCCATTGCATCGCTTTTGTTTCTTTGTCAAAGATTAGTTGATTGTATTCATGGGATTCTATTTCTGTGCTTTTTATTCTGTTCAATTTACCTGTCTTTTCTTTTGCTAATACCACACTCTCCTGATTATCAAATCTTTATAGTAAGTCAAGAAGTGTCAGTCCTTCAACTTTTTTCTTCTTCAATATTGTGTTGGCTATTCTAAGTCTTTTGTCTCTCCCTGTAAACTTTAGAATCAGTTTGTTGATATCCACAAAATAACTTGCTGAGATTTGGATTTTGATTTCACTAAATCTATAGATCAAGTTGGGAAGAACTGATATCTCGAAAAATTGAGTCTTCTTGGCCATGAACATGGAATATCTCTCCGTTTACTTAGGTCTTTGATTCCATTCACCAGGTTTTTAGTTTTCCATGTATACGTATATATAATTATGTATATAAAAGTATATATTTATATCTATAAATATATCTATAAATATATATATCTTATCCTTATTTTTTTAGATTTATGCCTAAGTATTTCCATTTTTGGATGCTAATGTAAATGTTATTGTTATTTTCAAATTCTACTTGATCATTACTGTATACAGGAAAGTGATTGACTTTTAACCTGTATTGGGCTTATATCCTGAAATCTTGCTTATAATGATTTAATAGTTCCAGGACTTCTTTTCTTGATCCTTTCAGATTTTCTATATAGACAGTCATGTCATCTGCAAACAGGGACAGTTTTATTTCTTTCTTCCCAAACTGTATACCTTTTATTTCCTTTTCTTATTGCATTAGCTAGAGCTTCCAGTGTAATGGTAAAAAGGAATGGTGAGAGAAGACATCTTTGCCTTGTTCCTGATCTTAGTGGGAAAGCTTCAAATTTCTCATAATTAAGTATGATGCTAGTTGCAGATTTTTTGGAAGGTATTCTTTATCAAGTTGAGGAAGTTTTCCCCCTATTCCTAGTTTACCAACAGTTTTATCATGAATGGTTATTGAATTATCCTTTACTTAAAAAAAAAAAGCTTTATTAAGATATAATTCACATACCATAAAATGTATCCATTTAAACTATGCAATTCAACCTTTGTACACAGTCTAATTTTAAAATATTTCATCACCTTAAAAGAAACCCTGTACCCACTAGCTGTCATTTCCTATTCCTTCTTCTTCCTAGCCCTAGGCAACCACTAATCTACTTTCTACTTTAATGGATTTGCCTTTTCTGGACATTTCATATAAATGTAATCACACAATATGGGGTATTATGTGTCTGACTTCTTTCACTCAGCATAATGTTACCAAATTTTATCCATGTTATAACATGTATAAGTAGTTCATTTATTTTATTGCTAAATAATATTTTATTGTATGGCTATGCCACATTACTTAACCCATTCATCAGCTGATGGATATTTGGGTTGTTTCCACTTTTTGGCTACTATGAATCATGGTACTATGAACATTCATGTGTAAGTTTCTGTGTGGACATACTTCATTACATTTTGGTGTACATCTAAAAATGGAATTGCTAGGTCATATGGCAACTATGTATATGTATATGTAAGTATATATATGGAAAGAGGAACTGACATTTTTTCCCAGAGTCAGTTAACCATTTTACATTCCTACCAGCAACATATGAGGGTTCTTTTTCTCTACATCCCTGTCAAAACTTGTTATTGTGGGGTTTTTTTATTATTATTATTTTTTGTTTACTATAGCCATCCTAGTGGGTGGCTATGATATGTCATTATGGTTTTGATTTGCATTTCGTTAATAACTAATGTTGTTGAACATCTTTTCATGGCTTCTCAGCCATTTTCATGTTTATCTTCTTTGGAGAAATGTTTATTAAAATCATTGGTCCATTTTAAAATTGGGTTATTTGCTTTTCTTCCTTTGCTTTTCTCTAAATTTTCCTTTTTTGAAAACTTTCTGAGATGTTTGCTTGATCTAGTACTCTGGCAGTATTACATATTTCTTGTTTACAGTCTTCATGATTTTCCTTATGCTAATAATTTCTCAATCTTTTTAGTCCTTCTTCATAAAACAGCACATCTAACCCTTTGGCATTTTAACTGCTTTTTTTCTGGACTTTCTCTTATTTTATGAAGCTTTTCTTGAACTATATGGAGACACATTGTAGATGGCCTTTTATTGTTGTGCACAATGCGAGGGAAGTAGTCCTTTTTCCTGAGGATGTCCCAGTGTGAGCTAACTATGGGGCTTCAGGTCTTTAGAGAAGTGTCTGAGATGACTTTTGTGACCTTCCTCAGTCATAATTGGTACCTCCCATCTGCTAAATTAGGTTTATATTGTCTCTCATGCAGGTGGAATGGAGAAAAGAAAGCCTGGAATTTATAATAATAAGCGGGCCTGATTGTGAAGGCTGATTCTGCTACTTATGGCTTTGTGACCTGGGACAAGTTACTTAATCTCTTCATAAGTAAAATTGGGATAATCATAACCACTTCATAATATTATTGTGAGGATTAAACTGATAATGACTGAAAAACAGCTCACAAAGTGACTAAAAATGAACCATAATTGCTCAACAAATATCAACTATTTCCTCATGTGTTGACATAGAAATTCTTGTTAGCTTCCCTTCCTACTTGTCACTTTTTGTACTATCATTGCAATTTCTCAACACCTTAAATCAATTTTTAAACCTTCAAGTCTTACATTTATGACAGGACATGCTATGGTCTGAGTATTTGTGTCTCCCTTCTGTCCCCCAATTCGTATGTTGAAATCCTAACACCCCCAACATGATGATATTAGGAGGTTGGGCCTTTGGAAGGTGCTCATGACAGTGAAGCCCTCATGAATGGGATCAGTGTCTTTTAAAAGAGGCTCCAGTAAGATCGTTAGTCCCTTCCACAATGCAAGAAGGTGCCAGTTTTGAACCATAAAGAGAGCCCTCACGAGAACATGACCATGCCGGTGCCTCGATCTTGGACTTCTAGTCTCCAGAACTGTGAGAAATAAATTTCTGTTGTTTATAAACTACCCAGTCTATGGTATTTTGTTGTAGTGCCTGAGGAGACCAAGACAGGGTATTGTAAAATTTGCAGATTAACCTAATTCCAGCACTGATTCCCCAGATCTATTTTGTACATTCCCTTGCTATTTTGAGAAATGTGTGCGCGCATGCATGGGAACATGCATTAAAATCATTTATGTACTGATGGCAAAGCAGTCCTTATCAATGAATGGTTACTTGTTAAACATGATCTTTTGGCCTATTGCTTCAGTCTCTCAAGTTCTTAATCACTGGTTGAGTGGAATCCACTTTCTTCTTCAAGTGACTTTTTCATTTCCAGTTTTGACTGATTGAAGAGCTTTCATTTTGAAATTTCATTTCACTTTTAGCTTAGTTGTACTTTTTCTTGTATCTTATGCCCTTTCTTTCTTAGATCCCAATTTCCTTTTCCAAAGCATATCCTCAATAGCACTTCCAGAAAGGGTATGTAGAGAAACACCTGACAGTCGTGCTGTCCATAGAGTTTTAGGTTCAAAAATCATGTCCCTCAAGGGGCATCTGGGTGACTCAGTTAAGTGTCCTACTCTTGATTTCAGTTCAGGTCATGATCTCAGGGTCCTAAAACTGAGCCCTACATGGGGCTCTGTGCTCAGCAGGGAATTTGCTTGAAATTCTCTCTCTCCCTCTGCCCCTCCCTCTGCCCATGCACACTCTCTCTTTCTCTCTCTAAAATAAATATATAAATCTTTAAAATAATCATGTCCCTCAAAATTTCAAACATTGCTCTCTCTCCATCTAGCATGCTCACAAGAACTCCACTATTCTGAGTACCTTTCATTTGTAAATAAGCATTGGCAGGCCTCCCCCTCCTGAAAATTTTAGGGTATTTTTTGTTTTGTTTTGTTTTTTTTGTTCTGAGTCAAGAGGTGTCTAAGGGTAAGATTTGCTTTCAGGGTGAACACTAGCATCTCTCTTAAGCTTTGGTGGAGGTGGAGGTGGAGGAGAGAATGAGGAGGAGATTTCCCAAAGATTCCTCTTATTTCCTACATTCTGTTTTCTTTTTCCAGAACTAACATAGATTTAAACTTCGGGATTTACCCTGGTGTTTCCTAACGCCTCTTTTATATTTTCTATATCTGATATTTTCTAGTTTCAGAATACTTCCTTTGAGTTTAATTTTTAGAGCTTCATTTAAGTTGTAAGTTTTTTTTGTTTTTTGCTATCTCCAGTTTTGTGTTTGTGGGCTGGGCTTATCTTTA